CTCAATATATAATTTGATCCATGAACTTTTAATTTGTTCAATGTAGTCCCTGAACTTTAACTCAATGTTCAATATGGTCACTGAACTTTCAATTTGTTCAACTTGATCCCTAAACTTTTAGTAAATATTTAATTTAGTCCCCGAACTATATGAAAATATACAATATAGTCCACGAACTTGAATTAATGGAAGGACTATATTGAACATCTTTATAAAGTTCAGGGACTATATTGAACATGTACCAAAAGTTCAGGGACCACACTGAACAAATTGAAAGTTTAGGGATCATGTTGCACATTGGATTGAAGTTTAGGGATTACATTGAACAAATTAAAAGTTTAGGGATCAAATTGCACATTGAGTCAAAGTTCAGGGACTGTTTGTGTCATTTTCCCAAAAAAATAATTATTTAGACAGGCTTTATTTAAAGGAAAATGATACAAACAATTTTTAAATTTTGACCTAATATACAATGCGATCCCTAAACTTTTAATTTATTCGATATAATCTCCCTAAAATTCAACCTAGCGTGCAGTGTGATTCCTCGACTTTTAATTTGTTTATTGTCATTCCTAAACTTTATGTGTATGTTCAATTTAGTCCATGAACTAAGAAAATTATTGTCATTTCATTAATTCAAGTTCAGGGAATACATTTAACATTTTCATATAACTCAAATTCCAAGGACTACATCGAATAAATTATAAGTTTAGAGACCGCATTACTCATTGGGTTAAAGTTCAGAGATCACGCGAACAAATTAAAAGTTCAAGTGCCACATTGCACATTAGGCAAAAGTTCAAGAACTGTTTGTGTAAAAACTCTACACTATACATGTGTGACATGTTTACCCTTCGTAAAAATTCTGTCAATGAGGACTGTTACAAATCTATCATGTCAAACGGTATTAATATGGTGCCCACGTGACTTAAGTGAAATTAAAACAACATTGTTTTGACTAAAAAGTAATCTAATGAAACTTTTATGGAGGATCAATGTGTCACACAATTACAAGTTTTGGGGTTTTTCATGTCACAAGAAAAAGTTTTGAGTAAATGTGTTATAGTGGATAGAGTTTGAGGAAAAGAAAAGTTCTGGGTAAATGTGTCAAGTGGGCGAAGTTGGAGATTTTTTGTAACTTTTTTCCTATTTTATTTTTTACAATTAAGGGTGGAACTCGGAACCTGCACGACCCCGATCCATTCTCTAGACTTGAAATCGGGAATTGGACCGGTTGGTTTCTCGGATGCTCGCTCCTGATCACAGGGGTCACTCGAGACCCGCTTTCAATTCAAGTTACTGCCCCGGTACACTCCGAAAGCTCGTTCGATGTGGATCGGGATGGGTTGTCACAATTTAGTCCAACAATATGATTTGTGCAAAGGGTACTTCGGCTTGGATGGCACGGTCTCATGGCATCACAAGAAGCTACGCAACTGCAAGATAATAATGGATTGTAGGACCATTGGCCTTGTATAGCATGTGAACGGTACCCAAATCAAGCTTAACCAAAAAAAAATCAAATAGCCTATCGACAAGTTAGTCAAATCAGGTGGTCCTGAAATTTCGAGGCACACTTAGATGCATCGATTTCCCACCTTATTGTAATGAGATTGGACCTAGGAATCGGTTGTACCCATCCAGTGGTTTCTTTTTTGGGGCCAATCTATAATATTCCAATGGTTGGACCAATCTATAATATTCCAATCTATAATACTTTTAAAGGTGGGAAAAATATGGTAATCTCCTTTCGTTTTGTAAACTGTTTATTTGGTTGCTTTGTTCTAAGTTAGGCCAAAGTATATTCTATATCCTCAAATTTCCTTACTTTAGCGAGACTCGGCGGAAAATGGCATCACGGGTTCGGAGATCCCGACCTAGATAGACGAACATAAAAAAGTGTCGTGCCGTTTCGAGCAGCCTCCGCTCGAAGCAATTTGCGCGCGGCTGGCAGCACTTGAACAGGTTTCACCTTGAGGAGATCTATAGGCTCACTATACTTTTTAATGCTACGTTGACATTCCCTTATTGGGCTGGAATGTTGCGTTGACATTTTACAAGGGGGAGTGAAGTTTAGCATTCCGCTTTCATGCAACATCAACATGAACGGGAAATTCTAACAAAAAAAAAATTAGAACGAAAAATTTCGACCAAAAAAGTTCTAAATTAATTGGACGGATGCGGCAGAGGTGGGAAGTTCGATTTCCCACTTTCTCAGGAAGGCTTGGGATGGGGACGTTTAGTTTCAGATGTGGGTTTTGATTCCCACGCTCTGCAAAGAGGTAAAACAAAAGTCTGAGAGTGAGTTGAGAGTTAGAGTGGAATAGACAAAAAAAATTCGTACGGATGTCAATCTAATCATAAACATATTAGTTTTGCAAATTAATTTAGCCCTAAATCTTTGCGCGAAATTCAATGTAGTTCTTCTGGTCAACTTCCGCCAGAAATTGTTGATGCGGCGGTTCAATAATTGCCGGATGCGTAGGAAAGCTAATAATAACAGATAAAATAATTTTATGGCAAGTAAAATGACGGGGGATTTTCTTTTTCATGTGTACGGAGAGCATGTGAGCCTATTTCATCTCAGCCTTTCAATAACGAGGATCTCACGTGAGATCTGTAAAATCCAACGGAGCGAGATCACGTCTATCGGGTGCGTACACTCCTCACGTGCCTAAGTGTTACGTATCGGTACCGTAGAGGACTGTATGCTGTTGTTCATGCCTACTTGCCTAGGAGACAAAAAGGCATCAGTCCTGTAAAATTGGGTAAAAAAAAAGAAAGAAATAAAATCTTCTATTGCCTAGACAAAATCAAATAATCCAACCACTAATATTAATGAACTGGTGACCGTTCAAGCAGACCGGTTGTTGCACCCAGTTGTGACAGAGTGGAAATATGCATAAAAATACAGAGACACACACCTACCGACCTAATTTCCTAAAAAATACTTAATTTTAGGTCCAATTTCAATTTTATCCCGAACTTTTTTTTAAAAAAAATTCTCAATTTTTACCCTAGTCCCGAATCTACCCACGATTCGAAAAATCGTTACTAATTTCTCCAAAATTATCAGCATCATGGTCAGTTAAATGCTCATCATCATAACTCGCGTCTTCATCGATGGTAGAACAACAGAATCTTAAAGAAATCAGCATTGATTTTTAGACCGCGCAAATAAATTTGGGATCAGAGTGAAAAATTGGAGATTTTCTCTTTTTTAGAGATTGAGAAAAAAAGTTCATGCTAGAATTGATATTTGACCTAAAGCTGGAATTATTTTTTTTTTTTAAGAAAAGTAGCCCCCACACCTACCCAATTTTTTTTTAAAATTTCGAGACATTCCCTACAATATGAATTATAAATTTTCCTAAGACTACTTACTCCTCAACACCCTTTAAATTTTTGGTTAATACCACGACAAATCATAAATTGGTACACTTATGACAAATTTATCATTTGTTAAATTAGATTAATACCACAAAAAATCACAAACTGGTAAACCCGTGACAAATAAAGGGGTAAAACCCTAAACTGATATACCCGTCAACTGACACGTGTCATTCGAGTCAACAACTTGACGATAAAATTTAACGGAAACTAACGGAGAGTAAATTTGTCACGGGTGTACTAGTTTGAGGTTTTTTAGTTTTGGGCAAATTTGTCATAAGTATAGCTGCTTGGGGTTTTTCGTGTTACAAATCCTTACATTTTCGACAAAAGAAACCACCCTTTAAATCTCGTAAATATTCAATCCCGGAACAGTGACCACACACGATCCGTATAGAATACAAAAGGTTCTGCGAACGTTTCGAAAGGATCCGACGAACAATGTTCGGTCGCTAATGACAGATCGAAACTGTTGCACCAACAGTTCATATTCCCTCCCCACCCAATATCGCGTCCTTTCAACATGTCTTTTAAAAAAATCGTGCCCACGACAAAAACGCTCTGCAAAAAAACCATGGCCGTATAAACGGCACTAAGGAGCACTTGCTCAACAAAAACATCATCCTCGGATAACATTGTTTATCTAATCAAATAGACAATCAGCACTAAAATTCACCACTTGTCATTTTTTTCTTGGCAGTTCGTATTCGCTGGTCGTGTTGTCTTGAGGGTATATTACAAAAGGGTTTTATTAGCATAACAGTTTTTGGACCACCGTGATAATAATATCAAGTTGTGAGCCACATATTCTCGAATAAATGGACCCCACAACGATATTATGGTTATTTGTTTTTTTTTTTTGGGACCAGAACATGCTGTTAATCTCAAGGACTATCACTTAATCATATCTCATTATAGAAAGGGTTGACCCAAGCACAATGTGATCGGTTATTTGCATCGACCCACTCGATACGCATGTGACCTGGAAATTAATGGGTTGACAGGATATGATCGTGCGGTCGATGGATCGGTACGATCGCACGGGCCCATTGTGCCAGCTGGGACGAAACCGGGTTTTTCATGAAATTCATAACAAATTGCTATAGTCCATCCACAAAGCATCACGAGACCAACAGGACGAATAATTTCCCAATCACGTACGCAGCTGATGAAATACCATCGATTGAAAACGTTAATAGCTGACACCATAGGGTTAAAAGTAGTTTTTTTCAAGCTCGTCACGAACAAAACAGCTTACACACATCTCGATCTCGTGCCGTGTCTAATGGGCTGGCTGGCTGGGCACGAACACGAACACGAACACGACCTGATTATCGATCGTGTCTTACCGGTCGGCGTGAAAATTGATCCCGACAAGATCGACCTCCTAATTTTTGTCCCATCGTGTCCACGCGATGTGTTAAAAAAATGGTCATCAACGGCCAAGGGTAATAATATATATATATTTTTTCATTTTTTCATTTTTGATAAGAGTATAGTGTTTGGTATATATAATTTTTATGAATATATATATTATACATATATATTCCCACATATATAAGTCCCATCTCGTTCCAAAATGTTCCGTCACTCGTCCCTCTCTCTCTCCCCGTTCTCTTGCAAAAAAATCTCTCTCTCTCTCTCTCTCCCTCTCTGTGTGCAGTGGAAGCGACGGACGAGCTTGCTCCGATGAGAATCGCGACGCCGGACGAATCCGAAATGCTACTCGCTCTCCGCTCTCCGGCCGACAGCGACGGCGTCTGAGCTGCTTCTTCCCGTCGCCGGCTGCTTCCTCCGGCGTCTTCCTGAGAGATCGGAGTACGTTGCCTTTCTCTCTCTCTCTCTCTCTGCTTTTGTTTGCTCTCCTCATTGATCTCTCTCTCTCTCTCTCTCTCTCTCTCTCTCTTACTTTCTCTCTCTGAGTCGTGACTCTGTTGAAGGTTAGGAGCCCTGCATCGAGTGTCGGAACCGCGATCTCGGTCGAGCTCCGTCGCTCAGCCGATAGCTCCGGCGAACTTCGATTAGCGGTGAAATGCGGAGGGGCTAAGCTGAATTCGAAGCGAGGACCGGTCGGAGCGTTAGGTGCGGGCTGTGAAGTGGAGCTAGGCGCGGCCGTTCGGTTGAGCGAGAGCGATGATGCTGGATCTCAACCTCAACGAGGAGGTCTCCACCTCGGAGTCGACGCGGAACGAGAGCCCCGTCGCGATCCTCGAGGAGCTCCCCGACGCGCCGCCGGGGGCTCAGATGGATGAGTCCGGGACCTCGAACTCGTCGATCGTCAATGCCGACGGTTGCGACGACGAGCCGTGCTCGGCACGCGCCGCCGCCGCCGACGTTCGCACTTTCACTTTCAGCTTCGGCATCCTGAAGGCCGGCGAGGGAGGTGCTGGCGTCGCAGACGACGAGGTCGACGCGACGAGGCAGTTGTTCCCGGTGATGGAGGTGGGTGCGGATATGGAGAGGTGCGGCGAATCGTCTGCGATGGACAAGAGGAACGACGTCTTCGCGGTCGATACTTGTACGGATAAGGAAGGTCCGAGGCTAGCGATGCCGCAACAGCGGAGGAAGAGCAGGAGGGGTCCGAGGTCGAGGAGCTCGCAGTATAGAGGGGTTACTTTTTATAGGAGGACCGGAAGATGGGAGTCGCACATATGGTTAGTGGACGATCAGTTTGACTTTTCGAAAATTCGATGCATCTGCTCTTATTTATTAAAATTTTTGCGGCCGTGTTTGATTTTCTATCCAATTCCTCCGGGATTGATGTGCTTGGCTGCTTGGTTTGGTTTAGTTTGATTGAATTACCCGAGTGGTTGCCGCTTTTTGTTTTACCCGGATAATAGGGACTGTCTTGAAACGGTCTGATTCCTGAACCGATGATCATTTGGCGCGATTGACTTGCTGAAATTGACAATTCGTTTGGGGAGTTGGGCCTATCTCTGGATTTTTCGTTCTGAGCATGGTTCATTTTGCTTCTGCTTGTCATGCGATTGATTTCAGTGAAATCGGATGTATGTATGAGTTGTTGAATTTTTCATGGAATTTAACTTATTGACTACGGATTTATTCTCTTATTTTTGGGACAGGGACTGTGGAAAGCAAGTGTATTTGGGTATGCATAGTCTTTTCTCGGGAAATTTGAGTTCAGTTTACTTGATGTCAGTTCACGTTTGGCAGCACTGATAATCTTTGACCTATTTGTAGGTGGATTCGACACTGCACATGCTGCAGCTAGGTAAGACATTGTCATACGTCATTAAGCTTTGTAGCTTTAGAAGGTTTCATTCATCTAAGAAGATAACATATTTGGGTTTTTGTGGACTCAGGGCCTATGATCGAGCTGCAATAAAATTCAGGGGGCTCGATGCAGACATAAATTTCAATTTGAGTGATTATGAGGATGATTTGAAACAGGTAAGATGTTTCACATGATTTAAACTTCCCACCATTGCACCATGTTAGTTTGCATTCTGGATTGGCTTAGGCTCTTTCTTGGTTGAGATTGGCAGATGAAGAATCTTGCAAAGGAAGAATTTGTACACATACTTCGTCGACAGAGCACTGGCTTTTCTAGGGGAAGTTCGAAATATCGAGGGGTGACACTGCACAAGTGCGGGCGGTGGGAAGCTAGAATGGGCCAATTCCTTGGCAAAAAGTAGGAAACTAAAAGCTTTTTCCCTTTAAAACCTGTTCCCCTTTATAAAGATTTTCTGCCCCTGTGAACTGAGGCAAGCTTTTGTGTTTATACACGAGCCAGTTTGCACTAAATATTCTGGAAAGCGAACTTTGGAGACATTGTATCTGAGTATCTTGCAATGCGTTTGTGCAGGTATATATACCTCGGCCTATTTGATAGTGAAGTAGAGGCAGCAAGGTGTCCCGACCAACCTGTGACCACATAGAGAATTCAATTCTATGAATACTCAGCCTTAACATGCTCGATCCCTCACTTATAGCTTTTGCTTCTTTGAATCAGGGCGTATGACAAGGCAGCTATCAAATGTAACGGAAGAGAGGCCGTGACCAACTTTGAACCTAGTACGTACGAGGGAGAGATGATTGCAAAAGCCAGCAATGGAAATAGCATCTGTAATCGCATATTTTGTCGCAAATGAGAAGCTTTCAGCGAACCGTTTCATTTTCATGAGAAGAAATACGTCAGGTTTCTCTACAAGGTTGATGAAGTATTCTGATGCAATTGATGCAGATGGTGACCAGGGTCTTGATCTCAATCTCGGGATATCAGCTTCTTCCAGGGGAACAATGGAAATCTTAGAGCCTTCCCAGTTCCTTGCTGACCCTGGCGACATGCATCGTGGAAGTAGTTTGAGGGTAATATTAGGGAACATTATCTCGATTTCCTTTCTCTTTCCTTTATACTCTTTAGATCCATGTATTCTATGAGGAGGTGCAGATTATTACTACTTTTCGATTTCCTATGGTTTCTGTATTCACTGAAAATGCTTCTCAGGTTGAAAACTCTGCTGCATCCTGGGGCAATCCATCTTTTGAAGGTTTTTCAATGACATCAGGACATCCTCCTCCTTGGACTGGTGTTTATCCTAGTGTCTTTCCTCACATGGTAAGTAACTATTGTTTTCCTATTACATCCTCATAGTGGAGTTGGCGTCTATCCAATGCCTTTTTGCTTTCAAGCAGCATCTCGATTCAGCTTTATGAAATTTCCAGTTGAGACAACCTACAACTGAAATGAACAGAATTTGATATAAATCTCTTATCAGAATTATCTTATTTCCTAACAAATAGGAAGTGGGAAAAAATGTGCTTGAACTGACGTGTCTGGGATTGTATGCACCGAACTAAGGTTCTGGTTAGAACATGGAGATATTCATACCAATATGCCAAGATGTCAAGTTGTACCGGAGAGATAAGTGATAATAAGAGATCGGAAAAAACAATCGACAAGTGATTTTGTGCGTGCTATTCCCTATTTTATGTGCTGCTTCATGAATAAAGCTTCAATTAATTCATAACCTTGCAGCTATCAGCCTAGAGGTTTCTGAACAGTGCTTGATGATGCATGTTTGTCCGCTGTTCTAATCCCGCGAGCCTAACTTGCAGGAAAGAGCTAAAGAGAAGATATGTGGGTTAGGCACGTCCCAAGGACTCCCTACCTGGGCAACACAAATGCATCATGGTCAGGTCAATTCTGCCCCATTACCACTGCTCTCTGCTGCAGCATCATCAGGATTCTCACTGTCGGCCGCTCCTCACTCTCCTGTCAATCTTCCCCTGCCGTTGACCGACTCAACAAGCCAAAGCAACCGTTTCTCTTTGCCCTCCTCGGCTGCCAACATCTCTCGTGGCTACTATCAGTTGATGCCTCAATGGCCTCCTAGGTAACTCTTAGATCTCTAATGAAGGGTTCGGAGAGATCAATGTTTAATTATTATTAGGAGGAAAATCTGGGCACTCTTAGTCAGCTCTCTTTGATGGCCAATGTCATGTTCATGAATTTATCCGAAAGATTAAAAAAAAGCCATTCATTATAAAACAACAAAGAGAGTTTTGATGGCGAATAACTCTGCTCGATGGTATTTGATGTGCGCGAGAAATTTCATTACACGTGTAATGCGGGTCAAATTTTGTGGATTCAAAAGAGGAATTGCGAGTTTATGATAGGCAGAGGAAGGAACCGACGTGCTCGGAGTCGATAATCTCCGAGTTCACGCTATTGTTGACGGAACCGAAAAACGAAACCTGACGCTGTGTTGCTGTTCATGTGTTGCCATCGTTGTTTCTTCCTGTTTCTAGAGAACTAGGAGGCAATGCGTTCGAGATGGTACTTCTCTTCTCCAAGAGCTATAATTGCTAAAACTGGTTGCGTCGTGAAATTGAGCTTAGACTAACCTTTCTCACCGAAAGCGGGGTAGGGACGACAAAAGGTTTGAGTGAATCAGGTGTGGACGTGCATTTGGACGGTGCATTGATCAAAACCACCACCATTAAATTTGTCAAATGGGTGGGTCGGGTCATATTCGATTCGGTCGAAAGTAGTCTTATCCAAATAGACATATTTAATATGTTTTGATCCATTATAATATAAATCTAACTATTCATATCCGATCAAATTATATCCTATCCGATTCATATTACTAAAAACACTTTCATATTTAACTCAATCTAGGAAAAATCATATCTAATTTGAGATGAGAGTGCGAAGTGAATGAGCACAAAATTAAGTGAGGGCGAGAGGGATGAGTTGAGTTTAAATAAGTTGTAAATCCATTTACGATCCATCTAATACTCATATTATCTTTATTTTAATTTATAATCTATTTAATGAATATAACTAGCTTATTTATGACTATTTATTGATATATGAGTTTTTTTTTTTGTTGTTGGTCCTACTCTATCTCTCACTCACGATACACACTCAGACTTGCGCCCCACCTCTTACAGGGCGTGGGCGTCGAAACCCACATCTTAAATTACGCGGCCCCACCCCTACCCTCTGCGAAGGTGGGGATTCGAACTCCCCACCTCCCCCTTCTCAAGTGAGAAGGGTGGCCACTGGGAGTTAAGGAATGAGTTTATGCTCTATTTTGACGGTTCTAATCACCACTTCTGCCATGTTTGCTTTCCCATGTACTTGCCTCTGGTGCCATCCCAAAATTGGCAAAACAAACTCGGGATGTTCTCAAAGATATAGATGATAAAACCAGCAAATCAAAGGAAAACAGAGGGGGAACGATGTAATGAATTTTGAAGAAAAAAAAGGAAGAAATGAAAATTGAATGGCATGGATCCACTCTCCTTTCCTTCTTCCCTACATCTCGGCGGCAGGCGTACGCATGCACCATTTGCCGCCAGCCACCGCCGTCGGCAAACTACGCTCACGCCGACCCGCTGCACCTCTCTCGCCCTTTGCGATATGAGCCTGTCATAACCATCAACAACCTCCGGTGTATGCAATCACGACCCCAAGCGAAATTCTCGCTCTGCAAAGCTATCATGATCCATTCTGTTCGGAAGTCCGCCTCAAGTGGTCCTTATCGAGGGAGACCTTTCAACCATCAAAGTACAAGAGCCGACTTCTTTGGTCATGTTTTCTTTACTGGTCTTGGTCGAATTTCATTGTTCTTTCTACTTTTTGGGAACACTTGACATTACACTTCTATGCAAATAATCATAAAATTAAACTTTTTAGAGCGTGAGGCTGAATGACAATGCTACCTCTATTCTCTACAACATAAATGAAGCTAACCCTAAGAGGTACTGCATGTGAAGTAGGCATTGGTACAGCGGATTCGTGTGAGCATGGTTTCTACTAGATAAAAAAAAAATATGCGAAAGAGAAAAATGTGAAATTTTTGTATATTTCAATGTACATAACTGTCGAAAACAGATTCCTAGAAATGCGAAAAGACGGAAACAAATTCCTAAAAGACGAAAACTCGAACCATCGAGTAACACCTAGGGGTGAGCGGCTCTCGGTCCGGTCCGGTTCCAAGGTGGAACCGGGAACCGGACCAAGAAAATCGGTTCCCAATTTTGGGAACCGCGGACCGGACCGGTTGGTTCTAGGACCGGGAACCGGTTACTTAGAGTTTAGGATTTTTTTTTGTCAAACGCTTAAGGTTTGGTTCACATTTTACTAATTTTTATTTTATGTCAATGAAGTTCACTTAGGGTTTAATTCACATTTTACTATTTTTTATCAATGAATTTATGATAATGAAGTTTACCTAGAGTTTAGTTCACATTTTATTAATTTTTTTAAAGAAAAAAATTACAAAAATATATATTAAATAGTCGGTCCGGTCCGGTCCGGTCCGGTTCCCCCTTGGAACCGGGAACCGGACCGCCCGGAAACCGGTTCCGCTTTTAGGAACCGGGAACCGGACCGATAGTCCCGAGAACCGGACCAAACTCGTCGGTCCGGTCCGGTCCGGTCCGGTCCCGGTTTGGGCGGTCCAAGTTGCTCACCCCTAGTAACACCGAAAACATTTGCAGAAACGTGCCCAAGAGAACTTGAATCACCAATCGTCTAAAGTATATCACCGGGAAGGATATACCTTGTTTTCCACGGATTAAATGCTTAAATTGCAACGTCGAGAGAGTGCGATTCTTCGATCGTCAAGTGAGAGCCTCTTTTCTTTTGAATGAGTGAATTTTTTTTCTTTTTGAGCGGGAGAATACTTGACACACCCATTCACATAGAGTGTTTCTCCCTTTTTCATTTTCCCATAAATAACTGCCTTGGTAGTTATTTCTCTCTCATGGGCCATTTCATGATTAACGGGCTGGGTTAGCCCAACATGGGCAGCCCAATATCCATAAAACCCACCAATAACGAAACGTAAGACATGGCGATTCACAACATCCACGTCAGCATGTCATGTAGGATGGCCGGCAATAACTGGACACTACATCAGCAATTTTTAACGGAAGTTGGCCGGAAGAACTACATTGGAACTTTGGTCAAAAGTTTAGAACTACATCGGCAAAATCGAAAAGCCCGGGATTGAATTGTCATCCGAGTAATAGATTTAGGACCGATTTGGTAATTTTTAGTCAATAAATGAAGCAGCTAAGCAAACCCTATGGCATCCTCTAGCATGTCATCAGTAGGTTTTGATTACATTAAGAGTTCCGCAGGGAGGTTCTTCATTGTTGCCGATTCACCAGCTAAAAACCATGGTCTTGTTTGCGATAGAGGAGAGACTTTTTGGACGGCGAAATGGGAGAATCCGAAACCCTCATGTTTAACGACTATGTTCGCCCCTTAACTAATTCAAATTATATATGACAAATGGCCGTGCGGACATGGACAGCGTCGGTGGACCTCGACTATGTAAAAGAAACTGCTCCATTTCCCGCGTTGACCAAACCTTAGAAATTGATCAAACATCGTAAGCATGTCAAAAGTCAACTCAAGCTCTCCTCACCTGCTCTTCTCCTTTTGTAGTGTACAATATTAATAATCGAAGCTTCTAATTCTCGACAGTGTGTATACATCCCTTTCGTCTAGAAAGTCAGAATTTCAACATTGGATGGCTTTTGGCGTGTGGACTCGAACGACATTTTCTAGGAAGGAGACTTGGGTCGTAATAAGTGGTCTTCGGTAGGCAACGAAGCCTATATATGAACACCCAGCTCCTCCATTCATTCCCCACAGCATCTCCAGATCTCCAAATTCGCTTAAGAGAACGCCAGTTGAAACCACGCCAAACACCATCATCTGTTCGAAAGAGAGGAGAGATCGGCGATGTCGAAGCCCGACCACGAGTCGCTGAGCTACGTGGACGAGGAGGCGAAGCGCAAGAAGAGGATGAAGTGGACGATCGGCATCACTGCCTTCGTCATCTTCCAGGTCGTCCAAGCCCTCTTCTTCGTCCTGGTCATCATGAAGTTCAAGTCCCCCAAGTTCAGGGTCGGCGAGTTCGATGTCCAGACCCTGAGCATCGGGACTCAGGCCTCGCCCTCGTTCGACATGAGCTTCGTTGCTCCCATCCGGATCAAGAACACCAACTGGGGTCCCTTCAAGTACGACGCGACTGCAGTCAACTTCACTTACGGAGGCGTTCAGGTAGGGCAAATGATGATTCCAAAGGGCAAGGCCAACTTCAAGTCCACCAAGAAGATCGATGTGAACGTGAACTTGAGCTCCGATGCTTTGCCGAGCAGTTCGAATCTCGGGAGCGAATTGAGCTCGGGGTTGATAACGCTGAACAGTCAAGGCGAGCTCAAAGGGAAGGTGACGGTCATGTTCATGTTCAAGAAGACGAAGACGTCCCAGATGAACTGCACCATGGCTATCAGTACAGCAACGAACGCGGTCCAATCCTTGTCATGTAAATGAGAGATGCGAGTGTGTGATTTTTTTTAAAATTTTTTCGATATGTCAGGTTGAATTATTTATTTTAATGAGTATTATTTTTCATTTAATTTAATTCATTATCAAAATTGACCTTAAAATTTAAACATTTAATTTCTTCTAGCTCTTAAATATGTTGTTGTGCGTGCATAATTATGTTCTTCCTACGTCATTGTCATTTCATCTTCGGTTACAGATGGACAACTGCCCTTCAAATAAGAGGGACATGTCACATGTCCTTACACATATGGAAATCCTCTAAGCATTCACATTGCCTATCAAGATTAGGTAGATTAACTATGCCAATTTGTCATGCAACTGGAAAGGCAAGATTGCCTATCTTTGGGATAATTGCATAAGGCGACCTGAATTTTACATCGTACATCAACCGTAAGTGCACTTTCATGGTCATAACCACCACCCTCCACGTTGCCGCCGCTGCAACCGCCATTGCCACCGGTATGCAACATCCACCTCATGCCCACCTTACATCGCCACCATCTACCTCACTTCGTGGCACGTTCATCACAGCTACCACCACGTTGACATTTTTAAATAATATTTTAAATTTTTTTGGTTTTTTCTTTTTTCTTTTCTTTTCTTTATTATTATTTTTTTGGACTGAGAGCCGATCGACCCTTGTCGACACTGGGCAGGGGTGTCACGGCCCGCACCAAATATGGGCAGGCAAGGGCATCGCGGCCTTCGTTGGCCCACTGGATCAGGCGAGGGAGTTGCGACCCTCGCCTGTGGTCAGTGAGGGTTGGTCGGCAACCCTTGTCGGTTCTCAATCCCAAATAAAAAAGAGAAACGAGAAGAAAAGAAAAAGGAAAAAAATAATAAAAAATTATTAAAAAACATTCATGTTGGCGTCGACCGTGTCAAGTACAACAGCCAATATCCACGTCAGTAATTTTCGGCCAAAATTGATCGGATGGACTCAATTGGCAAAGTGTGAACATGTTTAAGAATAAATTAGCACAATTGAAAAGTTTAGAATTGAATTGCAACAAGTGCAATCTTTATTTATATGTACCAGATAAATTTAAGTAAAAGCACAAGATAATACCACAAGAGTATGAACCATATAAAGAGGGTTCCTCCCCAATCGCATCAGAATTATCTAAATAAGATTCATGATTTTTTTAATTTATCAGATGTTTTACGCCCCGATATCTCTGTTAAAGATAAAGTTCAACGTTTTTCTTTGCCCTGAATCGACGTATCATTCGGTTCTGGCCTAGGTGTCAGTCTCTTAGTTCAACGGAATCCTTTAAACTCATCATGGATTATTTGATTTTATGTATTGGTATATTCGATTGCAGAAAGTGGGTTTGACAATAGAATCATGGCGGTTGGGGACCCGAAGGTTTGGCCGGCGGACAGCGGTAGAGAACTTGCGATTGAAGTTACCAACAAAGTGAGGCCCAAGTTATTACATTCCGAACTAATCTCTCATCCATTGCATCGAGATCGTCGAGTTTCTTCGAATTAAAAAGGTCTGTAATCGCTTCGTGTGTTTTTTGAGTATACTTGTAGGCTCACAGTTCGATAGGAACGTGCATTCAGCTGTACATGGACCTTGACGAAACAGTCCGCAACGTATAGAAATTCACGCCAGGATCAACTGTCGGATCACACATATTGGTAGAGATCATCTGTTTTGTTCGATAAATAATTAATGCTGCCAATAAATAGATTTGGTCCTTAACAGATTTTCAAATCGTTTCCTGAATTTTTGTTATCGTCTAACGGTTCTCATTCTGGGTCTATTGAATTCCGAGTGATAATGGTCGCGCCAAGATATTAAATTGGGAGCCAATTCCATTATGTGGGAGAAAAGCTTGGTGGGAGTTGGGGGGAGGGAGCATGCTTCGTGCATACGGTTCCAGTATATATACACACGTATACTGTGTACAATATATATACATACTCACGTAGATGGTGGAGACATACATCATTCGGATTCACAAAACCAGATCTTCATTTGTTGCACAGTCTGACAAGATCTAGGCAAATGGAGGGGAATTTCCGGGAACAAAGATTAATCTAATTGCACAACATTGGATAATCAGGTTTCTCTCATTAAGGACAAGCATGGTGTCCTACGAAGTTCTGGTTTCTCTCTTTTGGTGTATCTGGGCAAGTAGTTGTCTGATGCTACGGGGTGCGGGTGATGATTGATCAAATATCATCTTGTTATCGTTATGTGGCTCCTAATTGACATGTTTAAGTAGAAATTTACCCAACATTATGACTCCAAAGATGGCCATGGCGGCTCGGAGGAGAGAGCGCCGTCGACAGCAGAAGAGTTCAAGAGAGTGGCCGAGGAGAAGTGGAAGGAGGCTGAGCAAGGGGCCGCGAGTCAGGTGGACGATAAGATGTACGACGGCGCGAGAGAAGCGGTTCTAGGGAATGCTAACCCCGAATTGGCCAAAAAGAGGTATGGACAACCATGCTTGTGGCCGGCTAAGGAAAAAGGAAAAAGAAAAAAAATATTTTAAACAAAATTGAATTTTTTGGTAACTTTTCCCAAGAAACTCAAATCAGATTTCCATGCCAAACAATAGAAAATATATTCTAATTCATATTTAGGTTTAAGCCAAGCACCGAAAAATACTGTTATTTCCTGGAAAATGACACCCTGAAAACATTTTTCAGAAATGTCACATTTTCCGCAAAACAAACGGAGTCTTAGTATCGTAAAACTAAATTATTGTGCCCCAAATTGGATCGAAATTCTTGTAAGTGAGGCATCTGTGTCCATATTTATTTCAATTATAGAAACTCTAATCCTGTAAACAACTCTCTATTTTATCATATATGTGTGTGTGTGTAAGTGTAATGTGCTAGCAGGTTTGTGTTGGTTTTTGTTTTAGGCCGCGTCCTTTGGGTAAGAAGATGGCCGTGTCATTCCCCTTCCGTGGTGAGAATCGGGGCGTGACAAATTGATTCTCTCTAAGAATCCGTTTTAATGTCGTGAAACTGAACTACTGTGTCCTATCTTAAGTGAAATGCCAAACCCATCATCTTCGTGAGAACTAGCCTCCATCCTAAGAATTTCTATTTGTTCTCAGTTTCATGCTCCCTACTTATTTTCGGAGCTTTAAAGTTATTTATCTCACGTATCAACTATTCAGTATTAATCTTGTCGAACCCTCGTTTTTTACTCACCATTTTTCTCTATTCACAAGCATCTAATAAACTAATCCACTAATATTATCAACTAATTCTAGACTTCTAGTACAAATAGTATTTCCCATTCAAATCCCGTCATTATCTCTACTTTTAGGCTAATTCCAACTTGCACTGTTTGATTTCATGGTTGTCTCAGTCGAACCCCGTTATTTCTTTGCACAGTCAACATAGGATACTTTGATCTTTTTTTGTCTCAGTCCGAGCCAAAGTCCATTGAATCGGTTTCTTTCTGACCGTGCAAAATCCGATCTGCGTGGCATCGCATGCTCAATTACTGTTCATTTGGCAAAGTAGTCGGCTTAGTCTGTGTTTCCTCTTCGGCATGTGCAAGTCCCGAGCCCATTTTAATCAACCTCCTAATTAGTTTAGAAGTCAGGAATAAGGAAGGGAGTTGCTGTTCTTCTTCTTCTTCACGCGAGACATGCGGTCGAGGTTGGAGATTGCTCGGGAAAGGGTGGCCGCCGTAAACGTGGGTGATCGGGCGGCTGTCGATGGGGTAAGGTAGAGGTTTTGGTGGGAAGGACAGAGCTTGCAATGGATCGATTGAGAGAGGGGGGAGACTCATTGCTTAATCGCTCGCACGCTTTAATATTTCCCACACCTAGATTAAGCTCAAAGCTAGATTAAGCTCAAAGCAAATTTACAAGCATTATCTTACAATCTCTCACAGAGAATTCACTCAGAAAACTCACAGAGAGAAAATTTAGTACTCTTTGTGTTTGCTTTGTTGTATCTGATATTAGAGTAGAATTTTTGTTAGCAAGTTCACTTTAAGACAAAAGTGTAAGTAAACCTACATCTACGTAATGCTCTGAATTTTCATTGCTCTGGAAACTCGGTACCTCTTGACTCATCGGGTGCCAGCAAAGAAATCCCTATGAAAACAGACGTCATTCCCAGGATATACGTACATTGTTCTCAGTGCATCAGATACCTGTTCTAAAAATGGGTGAATCACACAAAATGATTGTCTAATTGTACGACCTGATATTCCTGAAAGTAAACAAATCTTGTACAAATGGAAAAGAATGTCCAAGCAATTTGAAACATTGGAACGATAAGATTTGCATCAAACAGTGACAATCCTTCATTCAACGTTGCCATCATCTGCAAAGCAAGAAAAGAATGTTGAGCTTTCTGCAGCAGTTGGGTATATTATAAGATCCATGTAAAGAAATTATGACAGCTATCTTACCCAAAATCGGGCAGCACTGAGAAACGGAAGAAGCTTTGAGTATGTAAACCAGCTGTGCAACTGATAGCTGCTAGACATTGCCAGTCTAAGCAAGTTAGACCTGATAACAAGAGAAATAACCGTGTTAATACCACAAATAGTTGCAGGTTTTACTGGTCACTCGCACCACAAAAATTTACGATATCTAAGGTACTTACAGAGATTTTGCAATACACTGAGCATGAGCCTACGGCACCTGAAACTCTAAGCTTGCTGCCAATGATCACATATGGAATCATCTTCACAGCCAAACGGGCTATGGACTCAACACATTGACAGACATTGTTTCGGAAAAAAAGAACTCCATGCAAACCTTCTGGAGCTAAATGCAGAGTAGAGAGCAAAATGAGATGGAACCATGCTTATATGACAGGTTGATAAATAAGTAGGATGGAAGGATGCAACTTGAAATAAAATGGCAAAGCTCAAAGTACAAAGTTACAGGCCAACAGCCATACGGTCCTGCCAGTAAAGGAATTGGGAGATGGGGCTAGAAAGTATTAGGCCTAGGGTTCGATCCTCGTGAGCACCGCACACATATGTACATAGAAAAGAGAAGTGAAAACAAAAAAAACGTACAAATTTATAGATTTTCAAAGGGACAATTACCAAAAAAGTCTTAAACCTACAATTTAACTG